GAATCAGGGGCTTCTCTCTTTCTGCCTCAGGCCTTTGGTCCTTCACGTGGTGCTGAAGGGCAGCAGCAGAGGAGGAGGGATGTACAGCTGGGACTGGGACTGGGATTGGCAATGGGAATGGGACAGAGAATGGGAATGGGACAGAGAATGGGACTGGCAATGACAATGGGACTGAGAATGGGAATGGCAATAGCAATGGCAATGGGACCAGGACTGGGACTGGCACTGGGACTGGGAATAGCACTGGGACTGGGACTGGCAATGGCAATGGGACTGGAACTGGGAATGGGAATGGCAATGGCAATGGCAATGGCAATGGCAATGGGACTGGGACTAGGACTGGGACTGGGACTGGGAATGTCACTGGGACTGGGATGGGGACTGGCACTGGCACTGGCACTGGCACTGGCACTGGCACTGGCACCGGGACCGGCCCTGCAGTGCCACAGCTCCATGTGGCCATGGCGGTGGCGCGGGCGCTGCCGCTGGTCTCGGCTGCGCTGAGGCGCTGCTGGAGCCCTTCGGGGCTGCCCGCAGCTGAGCCGGGCCTGTCTCTGTCCCCAGGTGCCCCCAGGAGCGGCCGTGCCGGCAGCGGGGCGCCGGCCCTGGGCACTCCTGCAGCAGCCCAGCCCCGGGCCCGGAGCGGCCCCGAGCCCGGCACCGACGGGGACTGGGCTGGGGGAACCTTCCAGCCCCGGAGCCCAGGAGCTGAGCCCGCGGCCGGAACGAGCCCTGAGCCCACGAGGGCTGCAAACAGAACAGCTCTGCCTCCCAGGAGCCTGGCAGGGGCTGAGCTGCTGCTCACAGCAGCCCCCGGGGCCCAGGGAGGACACTCATCTCCTGGAAAGCTCTGGAGCAGCCCCGGGCAGGGATCACAGGCCCCCACAGCCCTGCAGACAGAGCCAGGAGCTTCTCCTGGGGCTGCTCCCAGCCCTCCCACTTCCAGCTCTTCCCAGGCCTTTCCCAGTGCAGGGACACAGCAGGGCTCTCCCCAGCTCACAGCTCTCTCTTCGCCTCCTGTCATCGAGCAGAGGGAGGTGCCAAGCCCTAAAACTTCTCTTCTGACCCCCACGCTCGATTTTCATCCGCCAAGGAGAGAAA